TGAAAACATCGTTGATTTTTCTAATTAAAACAAAGTAATTATATAAAAAATAAATGAACACCGATATAAGTTTAATTCATTTTATAATGTAAAGTCTTTAGATAGATGATGATGAATGACTACGACTGCAATAAAAATAAATTTTTAAATATTATATTAGTGTTTTTTTCGAATGTCCAAAAAGTATCCGATTTTTGGTATTTCTCCCGTACCCAGGCCGTGAGAAATATTTGTATGGCCTACATTTATTCCTCTCGTGAGTTTGGGTGTAATTTGTGGTTGTCTATGTGTGCGTCAATGGCCCTTGGTACCCGCGATACATGGTTTCCTTAGTGCGGGACTAAGAGTGTGTGCGTTATTATTGTTGTTAATAAACAACCTTTAATAATTTTAATGAACAAAAAAAAAATGTAACCTTTTAATTAATTTGCCTTTACTTTCGTACAAAAATAAAAATATTCAAATAGATCGTTTCAAACGGTGATAACTGCGTGCCGGTGACTAAAAGAACAGGTTTTAACTACCAATTACATATCTAATAATCTCTGTTTGTGGAATTACATCTATGTACCAAGTTTTATTGATATCGGTTACAGGAAAGTGCGCGAAACAATTCGAATTCGAATTCATCTCCTAGTTTGCCACCTTTAGAGGTGGAATATTTTGTTCAAATTTAAATGGGACCAATATTGAGATACCCTCCGTCCACCAAAAAAAGAATCATCGAAATCGGTTCACAAATGCCGTTGTCGCGTAACATAATATGTAAAAAAAAATACAGTCTAATTGAGAACCTCCTTTTTCCAGTTATAAAGTATCAGACAGCACAAAAAACTTAAGTTTATTTGTGAATGTCTTGAAAAGTCATGGAAAAGTTGTTGTTTGTGATTTAGTAATATAGTCATGGGAGGTTATTAGTAGATATTCTACCTACAATAGCTCTGTATATGGAAAAAGATAAACTTGATATGTATTATATAATTATTATATACATAAGTACAAAGTTCTAATTGTCCAACATCCATTTTTTTAATTATTCCAGATTAATTTCGATGATTGCTTTTCGAACCATAACGGAAAGGAAAATCCGTTATGCGCAGAAGACATGAGCATGGATGAATATTTGAAAATATATTCATTAAGAAACCATACTGATTACTGCCTCTCTTACGTTTTTACTTACAGAGATTTCAAAGGCGTTCTTGGTAAGTGTATAATGTAGAGTATAATTATACCGACCGACTTCTGATTTAGCTACTTGTAAAACATCTAACTACCAACTATTTTGTCAGTATATTACATACAGCATATTTTTCCATAATAGGTATGAACGCTCTGTAAGGGCGGTATTGGTGTTTGGCGATAGCAAAAAACGTACACTTTGTCACACAGGACGATGTAACTCATATTTTTTTACTTTTACCTTTTCTGCAAGAAACAGCGATATTGTTGGGCAATTCATGAAGTTTTGACAAAGCTAGCGTGTATACAGGCAAAGAAGCGTCTCTAAAACTTATAACTAAAGTTGTCTTCTGTACGTTTGCTATTCTCAAAGCGTCAGGCGCATAAAAACGTGACCCAATGTACTTACGGCACACGAACCAGACAATGAAACAAACACGATATGATAGCAACTGAAGGTTTTCAGTAGCTGTTCATGAATGAGAGAGACGTTAGATTAAATGCTATTCTATAATATTCCTGTCAATGTTCTTTTTTTTCCAGGCAAGGCGTATGCCACGGAGATTGATGGAAGTCCAAGTTCAGCTTGTGTGATATATTGGTTCTACAATAGGGGCGATCTTACCACAGATTATACAAAAAAATCGCTGAACGTTGGCGTCATTACATTTTTAAATAAAGACGCTGAAGTTCCTTCAGACGTTAGCAAGTTAGTTTTTACTCGAGAATTAGGAAGAAGTTTCGGCGCTGAGGTTAGTATGTGCGACAGTTCAATTTTTATTGAATTGATATTCAATTATTTTTTGTGAAATTACTCCACTAGTTTGTTATAATTATTAATACAAAGACTGAACACTTAGACAAAAATTCTTCGATCCGGCCGGATTCGAACCGTCGTCTTCTAGCAAACCGTGGCAGACGCTATGCCAACTAAGCTACGGAACGAACCATCGGACCTCACGAATTTTTCTATATGCTTGTCATTGCTTGTTGTTAGATCTTTATATTTGGTTTTCAACGACTTTTTAGCCAGTTAGTTTAGGCGACTTTCAGACACATGTCAGAACACCTTTAATGTTAACCTCACGTAAATCTATTATATAAGAATTTCTACCTATCGACAGTGCTCAGTAATGCTGAGTGAATGATCTATCTAACGTCCTTTACACATACATTTTTGGTCATATTTTCTGTCAGTTTTCGGTATAGAACACTGGGATAATTATTAACAGAGTGTTTCCTAATGAACAGATCCGATATAAAGATCTGTTTAGATATGAGCGTTATTCGCTACTGTTGTCGCGAATAAAAAAACCGACCTCAAATCGTGGAATTACATCTATAAAATAAAATCGACTTTTCGTAAATTGTATTTTCGCACCTTCAATAATAAATCTTTTTGAAGATGTTAAAACTTATTTATACGTATCTAAGACTAATAGATTTCTTCACATATCTAAATTATCCATAAATTGTACAATTATACCTATTTAGCGAGATAGCGCTATTTGATTATAATGAAAGCCGCCAAATCTATTAGTAATTTAAGGAGAAATTGAGACATAAAAATACTTCTTTGTGGTTTTTGAATGTTTTAAGTTAGATAGCGCTATTTCTATTATACCATTAGATGCGAAATTATTATAGCTATTGAATGGTGTAAAAAAAACTAAAAAAGCGTACCTCAGAGATAGCCCCTTTCGGCTTAGCAGGGCAGAATTGATTTCCGGATACCCGCTTAGGTGTGTTGTGTATAGTGAAAATACCGCGTATCCGCTCTCTGATTCTGAATCTGATTTCGCTACGCATAGTGGTAGATATGTCATAATTGAAATTTGGCGTTACTTTGTTTTCAGTAAAAAGAAATTACCATGAAAATCATTCAAGTAAAGTAAAAATAAATTCAAGTTGTTTTTACTACTTGTTACAGGTGAGTGAAAAACCTTGTAAGAAAGGAGATGAAGGGATCGACCTATTGTCTCCAATGGCTACAATTGATTATCGGCAAAATCAGTTCTTCTCACCGTGTAGTATCAAAAACATTACTTTTGTTCTTTATAATTTGCAATTGAACAGAAAGTACAACTGCCTTTTGCCACCGTCTGAAGCATTTTGTGGCAATAATATCGTCGAGCCCGGCGAAGAATGTGACTGCGGTATACTTTCTTTGTTTATACCTTTAAAATTAATGGCAATATTTGTTCTTTATTTTTATCATTATTTTCTCTATTTATTATTTTCTCAGTCTTCACAAAGGATTTTCTTCTAATACTTCCGTTCACTACCTTGTAATAAGACCATAACGAGGCTTTAATAGTAGATTGCACAACAAGTGCATAAAACGCGTCACTTTACCCGAGACGAGTATATCCATCCGAGCCGCAGGCGATGGTGGATACTTAAGTCGAGGGGTTTTATGAACGAATTTTTTACTCTGCTTTTCACTTCGATTGCGAGGAAATTTAACAGCAATTTTACAAAGAAACGATTATTTAATTAAAATTTAATGTAAAATTACAACAATTAGACATATAACACGGATTTAAAAAAAAAGTATAACTTTATTTTATGAAGTTCTAGTGTGGTGTGGATGCTCAAGTGCATAAAACTGCAGCCAGCATAAATACGAACTTGAAGAGCATGAGAAGTGAAAAATGTATTTATTTCATAACCACAGGGTTAAATGACACCGAGTGTAAAGAACAATGCTGCTATCCCCGAGAAATCATCGCTGAAGACCTTGACAAGAATGTCACTGCAAAGGGATGCACAAGGAGAGCAAATACACAATGCAGGTAATCTCCTCTAACAGATCAGCACAGAGTACTAAAAAAACCGACCTCATAAGTCATTCTTCCCCAAGTTTGTCACCCTTAGAGGTGGAGTATTCTTTAAATTTAAATGGGACCATTACTGAAAATCGGTTCGCTTGCTGACATATAAAAGTATAATGCAATTAAATGTAAAATAATGTAATGAAGTAGCCCGTGGGCGTATTTTAAAACATTACGACCGACTTTGCTTGCATATCAAGAACAGTGTCTTGATATGCAAGCAAAGTCGGTTACGAGCAAGTGTGATGAAAAAGAAATGTCGTAATTATTAATACGAAGATCGAACACTCAGAAAAAATTCCTTCGATCCGGCCGCATTCGAACGAAGCTTCATACTACTACTCGATCAAATGAAAGACGCATGATGCGAATGAAGCTTCATACTACTACTCAACCAAATTAAAAGATGCATGGTGCGAATGAAGCTTCATACTACTACTCAACCAAATTAAAAGATGCATGGTGCGAATGAAGCTTCATAATAATACTCGACCAAATTAAAAGGCGCATGGTGCGAATGAAGTTTCATACTACTACTCAACTAAATTAAAAGACGCATGGTGCGAATGAAGCTTCATACTAATACTCGACCAAATTAAAAGACGCATGGTGCGAATGAAGCTTCATACTACTACTCGACCAAAATAAAAAACGCATGGTGCGAATGAAGCTTCATACTACTACTCGACCAAAATAAAAAATGCATGATGCGAATGAAGCTTCACACTTGACATTGTCTTTTAATAGGCCGAGTATTACTTATTTGGCAGTAATTGTTTCGGACAGATGCCGGAGACAGAACAAGAGTAGACCCCCAGACGTGTGTGGGGTGCGAACCTAACATTTCTATAAGTTTTTCCAACTTCCAGTAGTTTGTTGGCTATGAAATTTAAATCCCATTGACGGTGACCCTTTTGTGACCCTTCTGTAATGATTTCATTAGGATTCAATTACAAAGAGCCGTTATGTGACACAGGTCAAATTTCACATTCTAGCCCTTCAGAAGGACCATGCTGCGACGTGCACACTTGCCAGCTCTATCCCGAAGCTCAAAAGGAGTCGTGTCGCAGGCCGACGGAGTGCAGCTACGAGTCATTCTGCTCCGGACGCTCAGCCAAGTGTCCCGAACCTCGACTTGTGGCTAATGTGACCAACTGCGCATGCGATGAATTCCTCAATTGCCAACCGCTAAAGCCAAATAGCAGTAGTTCACTTATTCCTAGACTTTTGTGGATATGTATACTTTTTTATTGCCATTTGAGCATAACACTTTAAAATATTGTTTCTGCTTCTATAAAAACTATTTACATGTCACGACACAAATTGACTATATGCGTTTGTCGCTGTTTCGTCTGTAGTTGTATTTAAATTTGAAGATTTGTTAACCCGGTCATGGACAGTAAGGGCGCGCTCCCATTATGTCGTAGCGTTTTATTTATCATTGGACGATTGTCGCGTCTAGCCTGTTCCCATATCACGACTATCTGTCGTGACTGTGTCGTGGACGTTTATTTTATCGTTGTACGACTGTCGTGTCTAGCTGTTACCACTAGCTCGTGACGACAATTTATCAGTTGACGGCAGCTGCCTTGTCGTTTACACGACAGAGTCGTTTGAAGCTGCGATTATCTGCAGTCACATTTTTAAAGTGGCGTTGTATTTACAGTCGGACGACTGTCGTTCTGGTCATCGTAACGTCAAAAAGTTGTGGAACACTAATGTTAACAAGTTCATTTAAATATACAAGACACGACACATTAAACTGCACGACTGTCTGTCGTCACGACATGATGGGAAAGAAGAAACAACTTTTTGTATCTATTCAAACATTTTAAGCGGTACGGAGTAGAGATGGAAAAAACTGCTAATTTTTTTAAACGTTTAAACGTAACTTTAACCAAGAAAAAGAAAAGCAAGAGTAGACCACTAAAGGTTTTAAGTTAAGTAACTTTATTTCTAAAACACGAGTTTTATTTTTGTTTATAAAATTATTATTCACATTGCCGAATTAATTTCTTTAGGAAACAAATGGCGGGACTTGAAATTTAGGCACGTTGTATAAAAACTGTTATTATAAGACTATTACATTTATTTATACTATTTCTGTTTTTGTAATCTTGTGTAGCACAATGTTCATCATGCCGTGTATCGTAGATTCTGTGAAAGTGTGAGTCGGTGTTAACCCACAGTTTAATCTGTGGTCGGTGTTCATAAAATAAAATGTTTAAATTAATTGTTCGTATCTATTCACCACATATTACCTGCCGCAGTTAGTTGAAAAGGCGCATGTGGCATTAAAAAAAAATGTTATGTATACTGCCGTGATTATTAAAAAACGGCCGATCTATCACTGTTTCTTTTTTCCTAGGTGGATAAGGTATGAAGTTACCGCTAGAGAAAAGTAGATATTTTATTTTTCTTTATAACCTTTATAAACATTACTTTTTCGGTTTTGAGTTTTTACAAGCGCCCTTTCAACTAACGGCAACCTTTCAAACAACTAAATATAACATACTTTGACCTTGGACTATGAAAACCAAAGTACATGACATGTTATATTGACATATTTAAATCAGACGCTACAATTATGTATATGATGCATTTAGACGATGAAAACATAAACATTTTATTGTCTTTGTTTAACTACTGCGTGCCGTCGTAAGCCAAAAGAGATAGCACTACAATGATTTATGTCAAACACGGGAATCGAAAATACGTAACGTCATCTTAAATGCCAACTGTCCTCATTTTACCATTTTTGGAGTACCCTTTGACATCCGTATCCGGTTGTTAAAGGGAAGTACATCAAATGTCAAAACCAATGTTTGGCCGAATGTTTTATTGAATTATTCGCAAGAATTGTAATAAAATGGACAAAAATATTGACAGTTAGAACAATTACGTATTGATAAAAATGCGTCGGTGCAACATTAAGGAGTGCGGCAGTTGAAAAAGCGGAAATCAACCGAATGTTACATTACACCTGTGTTATTTTTCTGCCTATAAATCATACAATAGACGAAATATCTCATGTAATTAGACTCATTTAAGTAGTTTATTCATGTCTTGCCGAATTTTGCTTTGGTTACTTTAGATTAGATTTATTTAGATTAGATTGCCTGTTTGTTAATAGTATATTTTGATGATTGTTAGCGATTATTTTGAGAGATAGTGTTGTTCATGTAAGCTGACATATTATCGATATTCTGTTATTGAAACAATTCACTACGAGGTTTTTATTATTTCACTATTACTATTTTATTATTTTTAAAGTTTACCTACAAATGAAAACAGAAAGAAAGAATGATAGGAAATTATAGGACTGTCGAACATAAACATTGGATCAAATACCATCTTCGTTTGTTCGCTACACTCAAATTTAAACAGAACTTTGAATGTAACAAGATTACATGATAATGCAATTCCATCGTTACATTTATTGGTAAATAAGTTTACATTTAATTTTGATTAAAACGGCTCATTACTTGCGTAGTAATAATAGCCTAGTATTAATCATACTTTGATTACAGTAAACTACACAAATTTACAAACATAAAACACAGTAACAACAGTCGATATTGACTTCTGTATGATTATGGTACAACACTAAATCCGCCATTTATGGTGGACATTTTTGGTTTAGGTAGGGACGTTTGTTCCGTAGATAAGGCAGCTCCTTTCCTTTATTTTTGTCCATCCTGTAAGGGTCGTATTCCAAAACTCTACTCAATACTCAAGTCAAGACTTGAGTATTGCAGTGAGCACTGAAAATCACACTCAAGTCCTTGCCATTATGGTAGTATTTCCAGTGCTTGAAATCATACTCAAGTCTGCTCAAGTCAGGATTTGAGTATGATTCAAAGCGCTAGAAATCATACTCAAGTTCTTGCCATTAGGGTCGTATTTCCAGTGCTTGAAATCATACTCAAGTCTGCTCAAATCCTAACTCAGACTTGAGTATTGCAGTGAGTTCCAGTGCCACTCAGTGTTTTTAATTGCAAAGATCTGAGGGATACTGCCACTGCCCCTGTCACCCTCAGACATAATTTCATCAGCACCCTTACCTTTAAAATCGGAACGCAACATGCTCACACTACCGCTTGGCGGTAGAAATATTGTGCTGTGATTGAGGTGTTAAATTTCGCCGATTAATTACTCGCTAAGAATATCTATATAATCGAATACTGATACAACTGACCTATTGCAACGTTAATTAATTAGCTATCAATTTAATTAAATTTTTATTGAGTATCAGAATATTTCACCACCTTGGTATATTTTGTGAAATTACTCCACTAGCTTGTTACAATTTTAATACAAAGATCGAACACTTAGAAAAAAATACTTCGATCCGGCCGGATTCGGACCGAGCGACGTCTCCTAGCAAACCGTGGCAGACGCTATGCTAACTAAGCCACGGAACGAACCAGCGGACTACACGAAATTTTCATCGAATGTGCTTTGTTGTCGGATCTTTGTATGACGACTTGTTAGCCGTAGCGCCATCTATGAGAAATCTATGACAGTATTTCGTCATCCAGTTAATACAATTTAATTTTGTCGACATTTGCTTGTTTACAATTTGTTAAATTCATTTGCTCAAAGCTGCCGTTACCGACGCTAAATGGGAAGTAAATGGCGAAGTAAATGGGGTATTCTGCCGTGCGCTAACTAAAAAGCGGGTAAGTGATAAAATAATTTTTGAGCTATCATGAAAAACCATAACCTAGTTACAGAATATTGAGATTGTTTAATGATATTTCATCTGTGCATCGTTAAGGTAGGTAAGTTCCGAGAAGTCGGACACGTTAACTAATTTTAACTTTTTTTAAAGAGAATTTTGGTCTCTATCTTATGCTATTTAAAACGGATATTTGACCATTTGTCACTTAGCCACGTTTTAATTAGTGGACCTGCAATATTGCCGAATATTGCCAGGGCTCCGTCATGCGTTTAAGGTTACGCAATAGGTGTCTACCACTGAGTGTGTCGACGTTGGTACAAGGCTCAAAGGGCACGCACATCTGAATGGTATACGGCGGATATCGTAAAAAAAATCACTGCAATGTCGACATCGCGTAATTATTGTTCAGTGGATGGGTGAAGAAGTAGGAAAACTGACAATAAATTAAATTTTGTTTCATTACCGAAAGACGAAGAAAGGTAAGTTAATCTTTTGTTTTTACTATAATCGCTTTATTTTCGAATCTATGTGCTACCAATTCCTAAGAATTTAACTTAGTAAGTTGTGATCAACGAATTATCCCACTGGCGCCCTCTGCTTCGATGTGGCTAAGGCCTTCTATAAAGTCTAGTACAACGATTTACTTTATACAAGCTGTACAATCTCGGTTTGCCTAATCGTGTCGTGCACATCATTCTTGAGACTCTTGTTGAATCGCTCTTTCCGCTATCAAGTCGAAGGCGCACTCTCCTCCCCTCACCCCATAAGAGCCGGAGTTCCGGAAGGCTCTGCCCTCTCGCCCCTCCTATTCTCCCTGATGTCAATAATCAATTTGAATAGGCTAATAACGTAGGTATTATGAGTTTTGTATGAGAGAGAAATTGTATCTGTTACGTAGTAACTATTAAATAATCTATGCTAATACTTCCAAACATCATTTATAGTTAAAAACATAACTGCAGTAGCCAGGCTATTGATTTTAGACTAGAATCATATGATCCAAACTTTCGATTCGATGTTGCAGGCTGATTATTTGAAAAGTGTATCCGCAGTTACCTGCTGATGAATTTGTCAAGGACATAAATGCTGGTACAAAATTGTCGACCTTCACGAGAGACCCGTCAGAAATTTATCAAATCCCTGCTAGGCCAATATAAAATGTATTCCACATTTTGATACATAAAATTTACCCATGTTACAAATTACGTTGACCCAACAGAGATGGCCATGGGCTTAAGTAAATATTTGTAACTTGATCCATTGCTTCCTTCTTTTCATTTTGATAAGGAAACGTTCTAATTTTAACTGCCTCCGTGGCCGAACGGTTACCATGCCGGACTGCCACGCAGAGGTCCCAGGTTCGATTCCCGGGCCGGGAGAAATGTTTGTATGGCTTACATTTATTTCTCTCGTGAGTTTGGGTGTAATTTGTGGTTGTCTATGTGTGTGTCCATGGCACCCGCGACACAGGGTTTCCCTAGTGCGGGGCTATGTTGAGTGTGTGCGTTATTTATTTATTTATTTATAATACAACGATATCTATTGTTCTATTGTTTTATTTTGGCATACAATTGCACCATTTTTTATTAAAAGATATTTGTTAACAGAGACATAATTTTCGTTTTTTTTTAAGTAAAATTATTTTTTATGGTCCCATTGGTGCTGTTGCATCAGTAACCATTCATCATCTATACACCATGAGAAATCAATAATCGCACATAGATATCGTTGTGAAAAATAGTCAGGGCGTCGTCATTAAAAATTCCATTCCAATTGCTCTTTTGCAATTGTGATGCAATTGGAATGCAACTTTTGTGTTTACACTTTCAAGGATGTAACGGCAAGGTACTAAACTCACAAAAATGTAAGGGCTAGAATTTTATAAAAAATTTGGACTGCAGTGACATAATTAATTGATCAGTTCGCGGTTTCTTGCACAAATGACAAGGCAGAACAGAATAGAACCGTCCAATTAACAGCAAACGTAAATGACACTGCTAATGTCAATTTCATTCTTGAAAAAATGTTTTGTTGTGGACCTGTTGTTATTTCTGTGTAATTTAGAAAAAAACATCAACAGAAATATAATGGAGGATCTAAAATATTGTAAACTATGTTTAATTACCGACGTTAAAATGTACAGTATCCCCGTAAGCTCTATAAATAAAGCCTATTCACAGCTTCTTCAAATGCCTGTAAGTACATTTTTTGTTTACTGTTATTTTTATGTATTACAACCAGAAATTTTCAAAGAAATTAATGATAAATCGTATGGGTAATTTCTGGATGGTTATTGTAAAACCGCGAAATTCCAAAGAAACTGCTTATTATTGAAGACTCTCGGTCTCATTGAAATAATGAAATGTTGTAGTCTGTCTTTTTTGAAGACGAAGTAAAATTACATTTTTAGAGTTGCCAGGGCAGAGATTTCACTATCTATATTGAATTAAAATTAAAAACTTTAAAATATATTATCT